TGAGATGGTTCGGTTGCACAATGGATCCTCTTTAATTGAATCAGGAGATGTGAGATCCTCCATCCTATGGAAAAAGAGAGACACTGATAAAAGTGTATTCAGTATAAATGTACATGTAACAACCACATAATAGTCATGTACATGTATAATTTTTATTTAATCATATAAGATGCAGTATTTTATAAACGCCATGAATTAACCTTGCATATTCAACCTTATTTTTTATAGCTACCCATTCAGCCCATCACTGAACCAGCTGCTGGAATTTTGTTTATTTATAATAACAAACCACTCCTATGAATTGGACGAGTGGTTTTGTTATTATAAATAAACAAAACCACAGGAGGAGCAATATCCACCCTTATATATTAAACTCACTCTATATACCCTATAGATAGCATACATATACCCTGTACATGTATATGTACATGTACATGCACACGTACATGTACATGTAACCATTAACCACACTACCTGTCAGCAATGAGGTAAGGATGCGATGACTGCCAGTCCAGTGGTTTGAACTTTGTGACTGATATAAACCGACCAATTTTTATTCAATCATATAGTATATACACATGCAAGATGCGGCATTTTATAATAAATACCATAAATTAACCTTGCATATTCAACCTTATTTTTTATAGCTACCCATTCAACCAGCTGTTAGAGTTTTGTTTATTTACACAAAAACTACTCCTAAGAATTGGACGAGTGGTTTGTTATCGTAAATAAACAAAACCACAGGAGGGGCAACATCTGCCCATATTACTACACTCTACCCATATTATACATTGTAAATGTATGTGGTGTGGTCAGGGAAAACCCACCATAAGTCTATAGAGTTAAGGTTGGTCTTCCCCAGACCACACTGCATGTACATGTACATGTACAGTATAACCATTAACCGCACTACCTGTCAGCAATGAGGTAAGGATGCGATGACTGCCAGTCCAGTGGTTTGAACTTTGTGACTGATATAAACCGACCAAGATTATGCAACTCATTCTTCATGTATTGACCATGACGAATGTTGGACAGATAGAAAAGTTTCGCACCCTAAACAAATAAAATAAATAATGCTTTAATATCAATAAATAAAGACTGAGTCACATTACCAGTATATTAACTAGTCAAATATGCAACAAAAATTGGGTTCAGATTATCATAATTATTTCAACTACGCATTGGCACTTTTATCTGCTTATTTAATTTTTTGTAATTCAAAATCAATCAAGCTAAATGTACATGCACATGTACAATAAATGTAGGTTACTTAATATTTCTTCCTATAAACTGACACTCTCTCCTACATTGTATCTTACCTGATATATTTCTGTCCAAAATCTTTGTTTAAGTTTCTTTTTGAGTCTCCTCAAGTTTTTGTTCTTCTTCATCATGTCAAGGTGTGTCAGTACTCCCATCACACGAGGGAACCCGTGGGTCTGTAGGATATTTAAGAACTCAAACGTTTCCATCTCAAAACCAAAACTGGCATCAACAAGCAGCAATACCTATAATGTACAACAGACAAAAAGTTGTAGCTACTAAAAATTCAAGATAATAAAGATAGTGCTATTTTTCCTTTGGTGATATTTATAGACACAATACATACCAGACAAAATACATCTGGGCTCGTTAATATTTCTGTGATCATTAAACTATCATTGTGATTACTTACAAGGTCTACGACTTTTGCTATGTCAATCATTGTATTGATGTCATTATTGCACTCAATAAATGTGATCCGTCTCTTTTTACCTGAGGAGAAAGAGAGAGAGAGAGAAGGATCAATATAAGCAATAACTAAAATTAATGATTTGTATTTTGTTGTAGTAATTATATGCATATTTAGGTACATGTAGGCGTGACATTTTTGTATATCTCAGTACACACTACACCCCCTCCCATGTAGTACCATACAGTATGGTTATTTTTTCAAGAACAACAAACTCGTCATATGGCATATGTTACCTGACACTAGAGTGACTGGTCCCTGGTTCTTGGACACAGTGTGATGAGTGAAGTGCTTCACTAGTCCATTAATTAGTGTCGTCTTTCCAACTTTAGGTGGTCCTACTACAGCTATTAGTACTGGGGGCGGTTCAACTGGAGTCCTGTCCACCTGGGGGAGACGGTTCCTCTTTTCATTGATGTCTAGTGTCCTCCTTTTTGATCTGGCTGCTCTGATGGCGCTACGATAAGTGAAAGCCTTGGGGTTTCTTTGATCCTCTGCTTCCTCGTTTTCCTTCCCCTTCTTGTCCCTTTTCTTCTTTTTTATAGCTTTGGTACCAGCTTGTCGCTTCTTGTGAGATTTCTGCTTTGTAGCCTCCATCATGAACCACGTGGACGGTAGGTGGAGCCAGTTAGATCTAGATAACTATTGAATAACTAGAAACATTAAAGGGCTCAGCCCGCTGGCTCAGCCTCGTAGATTATTAGCTGGAAAAAAAAGCCAGTATCTCAACCTTATGTTGCTGTTAAAAAACTCCCTGACTTGTTTTATACATACATACATACGTACGTACATACATACAA